TGAATGCCTCCAGAGGTGGAAGGAAGGTGAATGCATCCCCTCCTCTGTGTAGGCTTCCCTTTTAGGAAGCTGAACTTGAGTTGACAGCTTTCTCTGAAAGCACTTTTCCTGTGGAGGAGCAAGGAACACTAGCCTGGATGACCTTGTAAGTCAGTCAGGATGTAGGTCTGTTCTGTGTTTGGTTTTTTCTGACACAAGGTCTTGCTTTGCATTCAGGCTGGCGCTGAACTCACTGTAGCCCAGGCTGGCCTCACACTCATGGCGATCCTCCTGCCTCAGCCTCCCAAGTGCTGGGATTACAAGGGTGCAGCACCCTACCTGGCTTGTGCTGTGTGTTCTTGAGCCAATTACTAAACCTTTCTGGGCCTTGGGTCTCTTGCATTACCCACCTCCAGAGTTCTACATCAGAAAAAGGGCAGAGAGGGTATGCCAGGTCTGAGGACCCCTCTTTCCCTTTCAGCCACTAAAAAAATGTGGTTTCTTCAAGCAATGGGAACACAGAAAAGTTCTTTGATAGGAGCTAGTCCTCCCTATCCATGGCCTCCCACACCCTCCTTGCTATAAAACATCTTTGAGTAAAATCAGGTTTGATCTGAATTCTGAGGCTCAAAACATGATCAAGAGCCAGGTGGTTTTCTCCGAAAATTCAATTCCAACACCCAACCTGGGGCCGTGTCTTTTAGAATGAATCTGTTTTCTTTTTTAGTGGCTTGGTATTTGTGGTCTGTGCCGGTTCATTACGGGACTCAGCTGAGTGTTTCATTGACTGCGATCACAGAGGCAGCAAGCACTCACCCCCCATGGGAATGACAGCCGACACCTCCTCCTTTTCATTTCCTCACTTACTCTAATACACTTCCTTTTTTAAGCTTTTTTTTAAAAAGGCACTAATGTTTTCCTTTTTAATATTTGGTTCAGAGGTGCAGGATCTATTCTTTACAAATCGACTGCACATCCCAGCGTATTCGTCCTCCATGGAGGTGGTGAGCTAGTCCTCCCCAGTCATCTGTGCCGCCAAGTGCTGGGAGGAGATTCAGCCGGCTCCCTGTGCACGAAGCTCGCGCTCAGCCTCTCTCTCTCTCTCTCTCTCTCTCTCTCTCTCTCTCTCTCTCTCTCCCATTTTCTCATTGTTCAGCTACATCTTGCAGAAGACACAAAAGAGGGAGGATGAGGGAAGGAAAGGGGAGGAGATGTCAGAGGGAACCCTGAAGCCGTCAGCCGGTCAGCGGTTTCAGATGTTCTCGAGCCGTGTGGCCTCAGAGCAGGTGCTTCCCCTGAGTCCTCACCCCCCTGTGAAGTGGAAGTAATAACTGAAGAGCGGTGGCCGTGATTACCTGGGAAAACACGTGGGAAAAATGCTTTGTAAATTGCATTTACACCCTTGTGGCTACCGAGGTATGATTGTGTCAATGTATAACTTGTATGATTTTTAAAAATTCACTTTAAAGCTAAGCGTGGCACATGCCTATAATCCCAGCACTCCCGAGGCTAAAGCAGGATGGGGGTGAGTTCGAGGGGGAAAAAAAGAGATGCTTTTGCTTTCAGAAACCGAGTTTGAGTTGGAAAGGAGCCTTCGTGTAACCACGCTCCCTGGGGAAGCAACCTCTCTGCAGTTGCCTTCAGAGTTACCATCTGATCTCAGCTTGCACAGCTTCAGGATAGGGAGGTCCCCTCCTCTCCTTTCTTTCCTTTCCTGATCATCCCAGAGTTTTAGTTTTTCTGGATATCAGATGTAGCAGTGCCTCTCTTCCCTAAGATGGGCAGCCGAAGAACACCGCCGTGGTTAAAAATGAATCGGTGTGCTTGGCATGCGCCGTGCGGCTCTGCCGTCCGCACGCAGCACTGCTGCGGGCGTGTCAGGAGTGCCTGAATGGCTTGTTCAGGGATCCAGTACTCTGTGTGGCAGAAACCACTGAGTTACTAGGGCTAAGGCCTCTCCCGGCTCGGGGGCAGGAGGAGGGCTCAGCGGGGCACTCAGTGCTCTGTTTCAGCAAGTGGATTTTCTACCTCTAAGTGTGTAAGGATTTGTCTGGGAAGGTACCGTCTGTGACAGTAATTGTTACCTTCCCTCTCCCCTCCTCCCTCTGCTCTGCAGTGGGGGAGAGAGCCTGTTTGCTGCAGGCCCACTTCTGCTGCTGGGGTTCCGTTGCTTTCTGTTCAGGATGGCATAGCGAGGAAGGGGACAGAGAGCGGAGCTGGGATCACCCCAAGCAGTGCTTGTGGCCTGCGTGCCTTGGTGTTTCCAGTGTCCTGTAAGCTCTGTTTGCAGTTCTTTTCACTTTAGTGCTGTGAAAATAATTGCTTAAACCACTTACAGGTGTTATGACCACATTTGGACATGTTGAAATCACTAGCTAGTCTTTCAGCATCTGTTTAATTGGAGGTGATCCTGAGTGTGCAGCCAGGGCATGCTGTGTGTGTGTGTGTGTGTGTGTGTGTGTGTGTGTGTGTTTAATACATTCTTATTCAGCAGATACATCTACTGTCCTTTAAATCAGAGAGATTTGCTCAGGGGCCAGGGAAGACACTCAGTGGTAGAGCATTTGCCTAACACGTGTGAAGCCCTGGGTTCAAGTCCCAATACTGAAACAAACAAACAAACAAACAACAAACAAAAAACCGGAAAGGTTTGCTCAGCATTGGGTACCTCAAGCAAAAGAGAAAGATTGTACTTTGGGACAGATGTCAGCCTGTTATCTCTAACTCCTGTGTTCGGTTATTCCTGTTGATCAGTACAACATTATTGCGTAACTTTACAATAAACCAGTGTTACTAATTCACAAATGAAAATTTTGTAATAATGAAATGCATCATCTTGACCTTCCTGAAGAAAATCTTCATCTACTGGAAACCTATCGGTTTTTCACAGAACATGGAGCTGACATCCCTCAGTGGCTTGGGATGCTCTTCTGGCTCATCATTACCTATGTATCAAATTATTTCATAACTTGATAGTTGCATGCGAAGACCTCCCTAACTGCAACTCTTCATATTTTCATGCTCACAATCCCCGCAGTTGCTCTTTACTTGTGAATGGACCCTGGGCAGATTTTCCCCTTCTAAATATTATCAACCAATGCCAAAACATTCTCCGCTGTCCTCCTGAGAGAAATTCCTCCCTCTGCCCAGGTGGAGCACCTACTGAATGTCTACAATGATAAATAGATTAGACCTCAGCCTCCCCAAAGCCGAACAACCCCCACTTTCTTTCTCGTTCTCTCACTGGATCTCTGTTGTTCTCTCTCAGGCTATCTGGCTGGACCTATCTGGCCCACTCCCACCTTTCCCAGCCTTTGTGAACTGCACTGGCTTCAACCCAAAGCCTTGTTCTCCATCTAAGATCCGCCAGTAGAACACAAAATGTGCGTGTTCTGTGACATCTGGCAGTACAGGCTCTGCTTGAGGAAAACGGGGATGTCACGCCACTCTTCCTGCCTGCAAGGTTTGTTGTGAGCGGCAAGGGCAGGCACCTAAGTGCTATGGAGCTTGGAGCTCTGTCGCTTCTCCCCTGGGGAGCTGTTTCTGAGCCCTTTAACTCTTCAGTGCTCCAGCATTATGTGCTGGTACATTTGTTTCCTCCTTTGTCAGCCGAAAAAGGTGGGTAGTGGGAAAGATGGAGAGGGCACCAGGTTGACTTCCAAATGAAATCAGTGAGAGTTCCCACATACACTGAGCCTGCCATGTTTGTCACTGAACCAAGCATGAAGGGGCCCTGCCTTCCTGTCCTGAAGCTCAGCAATCAGAAAGGCCTGGATTTGAATCTTGGCTCTGTCATTTGTAGCTGTGGGGACTATAAGGAGATACCTGTTATGGCTTGTTATCTAGATATCCCCCCCAAAATAACATGCCTCATGGGGCTTTTCAGAGGTGGCCGGATCTATGGTGTGTGAATATGGATTAAGGGTCTGTGGTAACTAAATTAGTCCAATTATTAATTCGGCGTAGTTCTGGATGTGGATAGGATCTGGATGGGAAGGCCCATCCTGGGCATCAGTAGTACCAACCAATAGGCCTGTAGCCTAAATGGAATAAAAGGGAAAGGAAGGCCCGATGCTGCTGCTTCCTGTCTTCTGCCTGCCATGCCATGAACTGTTTCTCTTCTGCCATCTCCCTCTACCATGGCACTCTGCCTGGGAGCCAACTGTCTATGGACTGAAACCTCTACAAACTATGAGCTGAAATAAACCTTTCCTCCTTTAACTTGTGGGTGTTGGGAATTTTGTCCCAGCAACAAGAAAGGAACTAAGACAGTGCCTAACTTTTTTGAGCCTCAGTTTTCTTTCCTGTGAAATGGAGATAATTGTTACCAACGTCACAGTTTCATGCTAACGATTAATTAGAAGCCTGTGTAGATGGAGCTTATGTCAAGTACACTGTAAGGGCTGAAAAATACCTACTAGTTCTTTGGTGACAGTGGCATGTAGAGACTATTTTCTTTTCTTTGCATTGTACAGTTTAACTTACCTGATTCAACCTGGCAGAAGTGTTGCCGCTGGTGGGAGAAAGAAAGGGGCCATTCCATGTGATCTGTCCCGTTTGACCTCCTGCCAGCCCCTTGCCCCAGGCCTGTCTGGGTACTCCTGGAGCAGGATTATTGTCACTTCCCAAGAGCAAGGAGGGCTCAGATGTGTGTCCTCACCCTTCTTGGAGGGGTTGTTGGTGTCCTAGGATGCCTTTTCCCTATGGGCCTGCATCACTGTCTCTGTCCCATCTCAGAGTTCCCGCTCTCATTTCAGAAACCCTCCCAGGATTTCTAGATGAAACGATCAGATCGTTTCCGTTGAATTGTCCAGCTCGCTGTCTCCAGTGCTGAGAAGAGACGTTGTAATTAATTACAGTCCCGGTGGGTTCAGGGATCAATAGCAGCAAGAGCTGTGGAATGAATTCTGAGCCGCAGCCCTGCTTTCCTTGTGACCTTGCACCCAGTCCCGTAAGCCCTCCAGACCTTGGTTTCCTCCTCCCTAGAATGGGAACGCCCATTTCACCGGGAGCCTTGGGAGGTTTCCAAAAGGCAGGTGACCACAGTGTCGCAAACTACAAGTTCTTATTCAGGTGGAGTTTCTGTTCCCACAGGGCAAGCAAGAGGGGTGTTTCTCTTATGAGCCTTTTCTAGAGCCTTCTTTCTTTTGTTATGGGGTTCCTTAAAACCAGCTGGATGTTTCCAGTCGCCTTCCCAAGCTTGGGAGAAGCAAGCAGCCCTACAACATTAGTAGGTGAGAGGGTATGGGTAGAAGAAGTTTCTGTTCTCTTAGCTCCGGCTTCTCCAGCAGGAAAAGGTAATCACCCGGGTGGGACCAGGGACGAGAAGTCAAAGGCCTGGGACTTCCACTGAGCGCCAGGGCCATTCACCATGCTGACTGCCGCCAGTACTGCTTTGTTGCGGTGGATTCCTTGTTTATTCCAGCCCCTTCTTCCTCCTTCTTGCACCCTTTTACTCCCACTGCGTTGTATTCTGCACAGCAACCACAGCTATCTTTCTAAAACACAAGTCTGGTAGTGTCCCTCGCCTGCTCAGAGGCCCTCCCGGGCTACCCAGACCGCTCAGGATAGGATCCAGAATTCTTGCTGGAGCTGCTCAGACCACACGCGAACTCTCGTAAACCAGCTGTTCCAGCCGTGCCTCCTGCTGCCCCAGATCCCCCTTGGCCCCAGCAGTGGCCTATCTGCTTCCCATGCCTGTGTGTTTGCCCTGGTCCCCAGCTACCAGTTAGGGCTTCCCTTGGTCAGGTCCCCGGCCTGCTTCAGGCCTCAGCTGAGGACATCTCTTTCCCCAGGAAGTCTTCCTGACCCCCTCCAGTCTGGGTGGGTTTCTGTGATACCCTGTGCTTACGGGTGTCGTGGCGTCTTCTGTATCCCAGGATAATAATCATTTTCTTGGTACCTTCCCTCCAGATGTATGACTGTTTGCTGTGATAGTCCCCAGCCCCTAGCAGACCTCCTGCCACTGAATGCAAGTCCATTGTAGAGTAGCAGGGTGGACGTAGAACGTCACCACCAGCCCGAGAACCCTCGGTAGGGTAGGGGTAGGGAGTTGGGATTACGAGGTACTTGTCAAACTGGTAGCTTCCTAATTCCATCCTGTGTTCCAGGCCTCCAGGAGTAGATCAGGGGGTCATTGCCCAGGGTATGGCCAGTGACCTGGCCCAAGCCTAGCATTGTACAAAACAGGTAAGTGATGCAGAGACAGATAGTAACTTCCATACGATTACTGTCTCTTTCTCTCTCCCTCTTCTCCTGTCCCTTACTTGTTTTTAAAATTCTAATTACTTTCAGTCCAAGACTAACATAATTTTTTAAACATGGGAAATCCCAGATGTTTCATTTTTCTGTCTCAGCAATGATGTGAAGAGAGGATGAATTATCCTACCTCGTGCCATGAGGTCTATTTTTATCGTTTGGGATGTTGAGACTAAAACTGGCAGAGCATATTTAATGTTGCTTAGGATCCTCGGTGACAGGCCTGTCTTTAAAGCCTGCCAGAGGAGCGCTGCCATGCAGGAACATGGGTTAGGAATTAATTCGACCTGCTTATCAGGACCAAATGGGGAGAAAGAACCCACATTTGACAGAGGTGAAGTGACGCGAGTTCGGGGAAGCACAGTGACGTCAGGGATCAGTAAACTATGTCTAAGGGGAAGGCTGAGAAACAGAGTTTCCATAGAGAGCTCAGTGGCTGGAAATGACTGAGAGCCGGGAGCGGGCGTAAAGGAAAGTAGACCTGGCCGCGAGGGTGGAAGTTACTGAGAAAGCCCTTCCACTTGAATATAGGACAGAGCTTGCAGCTAGTAGAATCTTGCCCGTGAGCGTCCCCAAAAGGCAATGAATTCCGCAGCGAGGGGCTTGCTCAGAGCTGGGCAGGGGAAAGGGCCTGCCACAGAGTGACAGCTGAGTGAGGGCCAGTCTGGAGCAGATGGACCGCCTAGCAGCACCCTCTGGCTGTAGGGCAAACCCACAGGCTCCCAGACCAAACGAGGGCCTAAAGGAGTGAAAGGCTCTCCAGCGGGGCTTGAAATGGCGGGGGGTGGTAACCGTGACGCCACATCTTTCTTTGGTCCATTTAAGAAAAGAGACTTGGGGACTTGTTATAGAGACTCGTAAGTTTTGAATTTCTTGCAGGCCAAATAGAGGCATGTGTGCCCCTGCATTTCAGCCATGACCACCATGGCAGTTTGACTCCTGCTCCAGGCTTCTCCAGGTTATGAGTCCTTCAGAGGTGAGATGAGTAAGGTGGACAGGCTTGGGGTTACCCCCAGCCGGTAGATGAACCAGGGCATCTCAAGTTCAGACGCTTCCAGAGAGACACACGGCCAAGAATAACAGACCAGGACGAGAATCGGGCTGAGGAGAAACGATGAGCAATTACCTCCCTCTCCTGTTTCATTGACCTTTCATTATCAAGATCTCTTTTACAATAAGGTCGAGTGAAGAGGGCACTGGGAGGGCCCGGTACTTTCTGGGGATAGTGCTAGAGCAGGAGTTCTCCTCCAAGAATGCTGGAGTGGAGGGTGCCTTCCTTCTGCTTCCTGCTCTACGTTAGGGGTTGGGGTACCCTGGGGTACTGGTGCAGGCCCACTCTCCACCTCTGAGCACAGACCTGCCTGGAGCGGTTCCAAAGGCTGCCTCTTCCTTTTCCCCAGGGCTTTGTGTCTTTAGGCCTCCAGCCACGCTTGACATTTCGCCATTATAACCCTGCTCCGGGTGAAGGCTTCACAGGCATCCAGGGACCTCTTTCAAAATGCACACAGGGAGGAGAAAAAAGCCACAAGAATGCAACCTGACGTCTGCCTCAGACTTGAAGCCTCAGACTTGAAGCCTCAATTCGCCAGCGACTTGGGCAGTGAATAAACGAGCTTTGTTATGAAAGCAACCTCAAAAAGCCAGTCATATCCAAACCACACTTAGGACACCCCCAGTGCAACCTGAGGCCTGTCTGCCTCGCTTCCTGCCTCGTGGCTTTCTTGCCAGTCCTTGGGCTGGCTGCGCTTCCCAGAGCACATTCAGACAAATCTGACACTTTACTCGCTCTGCCAGCAAACTGCCCAACTTGTTTGTGTTTTAGGTTAAGTTTTTATTTTTGTAAAGAATGTCATTTTTCCCCGTGTGTATAACCCTGTGAAGCCATCTTAACAGTGAGAGTCATGGATGTTTCTGTCACCCCAGGTCATCGTTACATAACCACTCACCTGCCTTCTGTCTCTCTAGATGCATTTTCTAGAATTTCATATAGAAGGAACCGTACAGCTTGTGTTCCTCTTTGCCTGGCTTTTTATTTCACTCACTACGATGAATTTTGATTTTTCTTGTGCTACTAAGGGAAGGAACTCAGGGCCTTGTACATGCTAGGCAAGCGCTCGTGCACTCTACACTGAGCTGCACTTCTAACCACAGTATAATGGTTTTTGAGAGTCATCCATGCTTATGTGTACATCACTAGTTTATTCCTTTTATTACCGACTAATATTCGGTTACATGAATATACTCTTAACTTGTTTATCTGTTTGCCTGTCAGTGGACATTTTGATTGTTTTTAACTTTTGGTTATTACGAATGAACCTGTTATGAATATTTGTGTGCAAGTCTTTGTCCAGGTATGTGCTTTTGGTTTTCTTGGATAAATACTGGGAGTGGAAAGGCCAAGTGATATGGTAGGTTTATGTCTAACTTTTTAAGAAACCAAAAAAGTATTTTTGAAAGGGTTGTATCATTTTGCATTTTACCATCAGTATATCAAAGTTTCAGTTGCTCAAAGTCCCTGATGACACTTAGAATAGTCTTTATTTTACTTATCCTGGAAGTTGTAAAGAAATGAAATCCACATTTCTCACATGAAATTTATATTCTTTTGTGAAGAGCAGCTAGCCCTTCATGTGTTTTTTATATCTTTTCTGAAGTGTCCGTTAAAATCTTTTGCCCAATTTAATTGGGTTAATTGCTTTATTGAGTTTAAATATTTAACATACAAGTCTTTCCTAATACGTGTTTTATAGTTCCCTCAGTCTTTGATTTGCCTGTTTTGTTTTCTTAGTAAGGTGTGACTATTGTCTGATAAAATCTGCAGCATATGAGTCTTCCAGGAATAAGAAAAACATTGAATATTTAACCAGGGTAGTAAATTTTTAAAATTCTGTAGGACCCAAATGTGAGACCAACATGAATGAGACCATATTTAATATCACAGTTAACTCCTGATGGGGAAATTATTTTGCATAGTTTGAGAAAAAAACACTGCATGGGGAACCACGCTGAAGTACTGGTAGAGAAAGAAGAAAAGATACAAACATAATCATAAATGAATTCTGTAATCAGTGGCTCCCTTCTGTGGAGGCAGAGGCGTAAGGCATGCTGTTCATTATTACTGTTGCGTGTGCTATGTTCTTTATTGGCGTGATGTTTAATCCTCAGAACAAGCTTCTGGAGTAGATTTTCCCCCTATTACCAATGCAAAAACTGAAGTTCAGAGAAGTTAAGAAACTTCCCCAGTTCATACAGGTAGGATATGGGAGACCTGGATTCAACCCCAAATCAGTCTGACGCCTAAGCCCACATTCTTAATCTGTTAGCGAAATTGCCTGGCCAGTAGAATGTGGAGAGAGGGTGTATTAGGAGAGAAGAATCTATCTTGTGCTCCCATAAACAAAATGTTTAGGAGCAAGAGGTGAAAACTTATTTGCAGCTCTGCCAGCAGACACTGTGGAGGGCTTAGGTTTGAGGGGGTTCTTGAGGGACCTGCATGACCTCATAGCAAGCAGTGGGAGACGAGGGATAATAAGAAGGTATTAGGGAAGGAGGCAGAGGTGCACATGGTCAGGGAATCCTAATATCCTTTTGGGGTGATGACGAGAGAAAAGGGATTAAAATCTACTTCTCAAACAGCCTTGAGAGCTGAAGCAAGAAGTTTGAGTTGGATTTCAGAGGGCGTGATGGTCCGCTGAAGCATTTGAGTAGGAGGGTGGAGGGGGGCAGATGGTTGGGGGAGAGAAAGCACTTTGAGACCCTGTGGTCCCCGAGGACCCTGTGGTGCTGAGGGCTCCAACTAGGGCATTAGCTGTAGAAATGGACAAGAAATACATAGTTCAAGAGCAGAAGTCTCCTCCCGTGCTTCCTCGGCCTGCTTGCAGCGTTGCTGTGATCTGGGACTGGTGCAGCGTGTCCCTCGCTGCCTCCTCTCTGTCCTCCATCTGTACTTTGCATACTTCATTGCTCCCAGACAGCAGCCGGGGAGAAGAGAGACTCAATTTGTCCAGCCTGTAATTGGTTGGCTAATTCTGACAAATGGGATGGGGCCTGAAGGAGGCAGAAACTTCGGGCCAAAATGAAGTTTTATATTATTTGTACATGCATTTCTTCACTCAGCTGCCCAGTTCGTTTATTTCCCATCCTTCTTTCCAAACATTTATTGATTCGTTCAATAAACACTCAGTCATCTGGTAGTCATCAGGTGGCCACGATGTGCCAAACACGGTGGTTGGCACTGAGCACACGGCAGGCGGCAGGGCAGTCTCTGTCCGCAGGAAGTTTCCTGTTCTGCTGGAGGGTTAGTTCAGCCATCTGCTTCTGGGCTTGCTTTTTGTCTCACCTTCTTACGATCTTTCCCCCTTTTTTCTCATCCTTCCGATAAGAAAGTTCGGTATTGTCTTTCCACACTTTGGATAGTTAACCACGCAGTTTTAACATGCCTTCTCAGGTCTAAAATTAATTAGTATTCTTGCTCCCCTGCAGCCAATATAAGGAACTCAGCGTATAGCCAATATTAGGAACTCCCCTTGTCTGAAAATGCTGTTGTTTTCCTGTAGTTTAGTTACTTTTACTAACTCTCTAAGACTGTACTGTTTGATACAGGCTTTCCAAGTGCAATCAGTTGCAGTCTTTCTGAAGTATAACCCTTCACATTGCTTTCCTGAGCGGCTTTTGATAGCAGCCTCTCTGTTTTTGCTTGAGAATATCCGTTTTGCTCCTGTTCTTGCTGGGTGTGCCTGTGGCAGTGTGAACCCTTAGTGTACTCACTATATTTTCCTCCTGATGGATTCCACGGTAGCTGTTGAGATGTCAGGGGTCACCTAGTGATTATTATTTTAAAAGAAAAGTCTTTTCTCTGGCTGTTTTTAAGATTTGATCTCCTTTTTTGGTATCCTGTAATTTCACTCTGATGTGGGTTTTTAAAAACAGCTGGAGTGTTGTATAAATGACGTGAATTGCATGTTTGTCGTGCACCATTAGCTAAGTGTTGGTATTTGTCTGTACCCTTGGAAACCTCACCACCTCAAGATAGCAAACACAACCACCGCCCTGCAGTTTCCTTGTGGCCCTTTGTGTTTGTCACCTTGCCCTCCTCAGTCCCCAAGCAACACTGATCTGCTTCCTAGCTCTATAAATCGCTTTGCATTTTTTAGAATTTTATACAAGTGGACTCATACAGTGTGTAGTATTTGTTAAAAATTTGACTTCTTTCAGTGAACATGATTATTTTGTGATCCATCCTTCTTGTAGCATGTACCAAGAATTCATTCTCTTTTATTAATAAAATAGACTTCTTTGTATGTACAGTGGTGCCTCTTTGCTTGAAAGTGGAATCAAAAATCTGACTTGAAAAAAACCTGTAAGGGCTGAGTGAGTCGTGTGTCATGTCTCACTGCGGACAAGGGGGCAACACTTCAGTCTAAGTACCGCTCTGGCCCAGACAACATATAGAGCTGTGTTAGTGCATTAAACACTCGTCATTGTGCCTTTTTTTACACTTTATTTGTGTAAAATATCGTAATCATGCTCCAAAGAAAGTTAGTGATACCAGCAGTAAAACTAATAGTACAACTGTGAAAACCACGATAGAGTTAAAGAAAGAAATCACTGTGAAATTTGTTAAGGTCCTGGAAAAATAAATGTATAAGTGTAATTTTTGGACCTCAGAACCAATTATTTGACTTTCCATTATTTCTTGTGGGAAAAATACGTTCAGGTCTCAAACTTTTTGGTGGTCAAACACAAATTTGGAAAGCATCTGAGTATGTATCTGAGTATACAGAAGGTATACAGAGGTATCACTGTAATATATTGTCACAGTCTGCGTATCCACCGTTTTCCTGTTTATGGACATTTGGGTTGTTTGCAGTTTGGAGCAACATTACAAAGTTGCTGTGAGCATTCATGTACAAGTCTATATGAACATGGGCTTTCACTTCTTGTAGAGTTAGAGGTATATCTAATTCTATAAGAAGACTGTAGTTTAGATGTATATTTGACAGCTTTGGTACCATAAATAAATAAATAATGATTAGTGGAGTTTATCCTAAGAGTAAAAGGTTGGTTTTGCATCACTCGATCATTGCAGTCCAGTACATCTACAAATTAAACAAGAAATATCACATAATTATCTCAATAAGTGCAGAAAAAACATTTGACAAATCCAACATCTACTGATTAAACCTGTCAGTAAACTAAAACTAGAAAGACTTCCTGACTCTTATAAAGAACATTCACCAAAATCCTATAGTTAACAGAATACTTAATATTATAATTTAAGACTAAGTAGTTTCCCCTCTAAGATCAGAAACAAAATAAGAATATCCACTCTTATTACTCCCATTCAGCATTGCACTGAGGATTCTCACCAGAGCAATAAGGCATGAAAAAGAAAACAAAGGCATCTAGATTGGAAAGAAGCAAAACTGCTTATATTTGCAGTTAATATGATTGCCTCTGAAGAAAATCTGACAGAATCTACAAAAAAAATCACTAGAATTTTATAAGTGAGTTCAGTAAGATTACTGGAGAAAATCAATATCAAAAACAATTATATTTCAATCTGTGAGCACTGAGCAATTCAAAAACACCATTTACAAGAACATCAAAAATACAAAATTCTATGGATAAAGACAAAAATATGTAAAGCCTCACATCACAAAATGATTAACAAAAATTAACTCAGTGAAGCTATACAAAATACATGGATCAAAAACTAAATATTAATTTATGGATTCAATGTAACTCTAATAAAGTTTTAAAAATTCCAGCAAGCTCTTCTTTAAAAAATTGATAAGATAAAATTTATGTGGAAATGAAGAAGGCCTACAATAGCCAAAACAACTTCAGAAAAGAACAAACTTGGATAACTAAAGCCTGACTTCAAATCATATTATAAAATGGTATTAATTAAGACACTGTGGTATTAACATATATAATATATATGATATTTCTGGTCATATCTCATGTTTTATGTGTGTTTATTTGCCTCCATCTCTGTCAACTTCCTTCTTCCTCCCTTTCCTTTTATTTTTTTTCTGTTTGTTTGTTAATTAGTTTGTTTTTGAGACGTGTTCTCACTGTGTTGCTTAGATTGGTCTTAGACTCCTGTGTTCAAGTGATTCTCCTGCCTCAGCTTCCCAAGTATGCATACCACAGTGCCTGGATTTCCACCTTTTCTTTTTTTGTTTTGTTTTGTATTCTTTTCCTTTTCTTCTCTCTTTTTTAAACTCTACTGTGAACTATTTTTAGAACCTTTCCTGTGAGAGTTCTTTGAGCGTTGGGTGGAGGTAGGTTTCTTCCAACAATACTAGCATTTACTTCTGCTCCTACGTAGTAGAATCTCCCTTTTTCAGTTTGGAGTTTTTCAGACTTCCCACATTATCTGATTGTGGACCAAAAACCTTTATGAGAGTTGGATTATGGAAACAAATTCTCAGGAGAGATTCTCTCCCACCCTATTTTTCATTGCCAGAATGTGACCCGTCTGGTCAGACGGTTTGGGGCTTATTTTGCAAGAAGAACAATATAATACAGGACACATTTTATAAGATTATTTATAATAGTCACCCAAAGAATCATATACAAGAGAGTGCAGGAAATCTGTCCACACACTAAAGACCAAAGAATCTTGACCAGCTGAGGGCCTGGATCCCACGATAATGTCCTACATGAGTCCAGCTAAAGACCTAGAATTCCTCACAATGCCTCAAACGAGTACAGCTGGAGGCCTAGAGCCCATAACAATATCTCATGCAGGCCTGTTTCATGGATCTGTGCTCGAAAGGCCCCAAGGTCAGTGGTGGAATCTAGAAAGTCTGTGCCAGCAAGATGAAGAATCTGTGCTAGCAGGCTGAAGGATCTGTGCTAGCAGGCCAAGGGATCTGCACTGGAGCCAGGAAGCAACACTCAAAATAAGAACCACAGTTCCCCCCAAAAGTACCAGAGCCATCCTCAGCAACAGTGAGATCCTGAGCTCCTCTGATAATCAGGACAGCCGAGTTCCCATCAGGAAAGCCAACGTGACAAGCTTCTCCAGGAGACTGAGCTGTGCACCTTCTTCCACTCCAGAGCCAGGAAGTGATGCTCAAAGTGAGGGCCAGAGCTCCCCCAAAGTGAACTGAAGCCACTCTCGGTGTTAACAAGGTCCTGAGCTCCTTGGCCGGTGAGGGTGAAAACAGCAAAGTTCATCAGGAAAGCCAGCACAACAAGCTCCTCCAAGAAAACCAACAACTCCTTACTGCTTCTCTCTGCTTCCAACAGGCTCCCAACAGCCTCTCTCAGCTCCCAACAGCCTCTCTCAGCTCCCAACAGCCGTACTTCTTCTCCAGTTTTGCCTCTTATGCTGCTGACAGCAATCCTCAGGTGGGCCTCCCACACCCAGCACCACACTTACTGAGTTCAGCTGGGGGTTATAAGTTGAGCACCAGTCGTCAATCCACCACAGACGGGTTTATCACTGTCTATTCCTATATCCAAGGGGGAGGGAGCTGCAGCTGTTTATTCATGGGGCATGTGGAGGGGATTGTGGCAGTTGCCCACGCCGTCTGCACTCTGGTCCTTATCCTGTGTGGCCCGCATTCTAAGAGGTCCCCTGGCTTAGTAAATGCCCTCAAAGCAAAAACTGATTTTGGTTCACTGAACACTTATCTCCAGTTCCTAGTTTCTTTTGGTTCTTGCTTTCTAATTATTTCTTCTTTCCTTGGAAGTTTGTCCATATATTTACAGACACACCATTTCATTTTTGTTCCTTTTTATTCTGCCACCTTAGTTTTCTGCTAATGGTTTAGTTGTGGTGTCCTCTGCCAGGGAAAGGGAAGCTGGCTCTCCATCTTTTCTGTTGCTGTAGTTGGAGATGGTTTCTTCTCCGCTATCCTGGGAGTAGTACTCTTATCGGTTTGTTTCTGTTTCCCTTGGTGAACACAGGAGAAGCCTGCCCTTGGTGCGCAGCAGGACTTTCAGGGCCTGGTGTCTGCACATTCTGCTTGCTCAGACGTTGCAATCAACTAGGGTGCAGTTCTCTACTCTTCAGACCTGTGAAGGTCTTTTGCATGGGGCTGCCTAGATCCCCAAGCTCTAGGCACGCCCTTGGGTAACAGGACAAGGAGCAGCTGGGTAGGCCCTTTGCCCACACTTCCTCCTGTGCTTCCTGTGTGCTGCTACTAGCAGCTTGTGGGGTGAACCAAAGCTAAGTGACTAGACCTAATCCAAGTTGTACTTCTCACTGTATCTGGAAGCCAGACCAGTCCTGGGGTCTTGCCTAGCCCAGGAAGAAAAGTGGCAGCCTTCAGTGAATACAGGAAAGTCAAGCTCATTTGACTTTTTCTTGTGTGTCTGTTTTTTGGAGCTGGCCTGGGACACCCAGGCAGGCAGCCTGTGCAGCTTCTGGAGCCTCCTGCTAATCGGCCCTGTGAGCCCCAGGCTCTGGGTCCTCCTGTGTGGAGGAGGGAAGAGGCCACCAGTGGGACTCCAGCCACTGGCCTCAGACTCATTCCCCCTGTTGACATTTTCGCTGGCCCAAGGTGAAACAAGAGAAGATGAGGAGGCAAGGAGCTCTAGGAAAGCTCTGCGTGTTACGGATGCTGAGGGACGTTTCTAACTTGGAGCACTCTGTCCTCACCTGATGAAGTGGTGGGAAGAGCAGCAGGTGGGTGGACTGACTGCTTGGCTGGTTTGAATGTAGTTACTGAACGGGCCGCAAAACCAGTGACGCCGTCTTGTCTACCCTTTTGGAAGAATCTCTTTTCATGTTCATTGAACTTGGGAGTCACAACTGTGGCTACATCAGACGACTTTGAAATTGAAAGGCCTCCCCTCTTCTGATGTGTGGATTATGGAGAGCAGGAGATTCTTTCCTTGTGTCCCTGTGAGCTGCAAAGCTTGGATTCTGGTTAGTTTCTGTCACTTGGTACACCGTGGGCATGTTAGAAGCAGAGGGACTCTTCTGCTGAAGAGTGGAGCCGCAGCGGGACTGTTTCAGATGTTACCTGCGCAGTGCACGCGTTCCTGGGTTACAGGTTGGCAGGAGCCTCGTTGCCGCTGTGGCTCTGCCGTTAGCCCTCTGGATCCAGGGAGGCTCTCTGGCACTTGCATACCTTCTTGCCTTTGCCGAGAGCTCTAGAAACCCAGGTTCCGGAGTCCATCAGCGTTTCCGCACAGGATCCTGGGAACATCCCAGCTGTGGATTAGCTTCCCCCCAAAAAGCCTGTTACGTCTCCATTCTCTTGCTGTGTGTCAACACAGAGAAATGCTGCGGGCCCAGGCAGCTCTCTGCCCGCTGGGGAGAGAGCCAGCGGCTCAGTAGACAGCTCAGCGACCTGTGAGAATCTTTAAGGCCATGGGACGAAAC